TCATTTCACCGGGTGGCGCTCCTTCCCCACGCTTCGTCGTAATGAAGGCTGCGAGTGTTTGCCACGGAGGTCGCTGCGGATCCGGGGACTCGTGAATTTTGAACGAAGCGTCGAGCGGAATTTCGGGAGCATTCACAGGGCAAGCGTGGGATCGGGATCTTCCCTCGCTTCCGATTGCCACGGTTGGCTACGTACGGTGCGAAATAACTTCGACATCATGCATACTGGACATACAACTCACAAAACTGTCAGCGCAATTGGTTCACGGTCTATTTTACTTCCAAACTGTTCTATTTTTTAGTATTTAAAAACGATATATATAACGACACGTGATTATTTACCCAGGAAACATCACATTGAGCCCGACGACTCATTTGCAGGAGGGTCCTGCCACATTGGGATGTTTAGCCAAACGCCAATGCCATTGTATGATTTATTCATGTTTTGTTACGGGCAGAAAGCGGGCAGAACAAACGGACATCGGAATCTTTATTCAGACTGGTAGAATCCGATGAGCTATGAAGCTCTTTTTTCACAGCTGTCCATACAGTCTCCACACAGAGAGTGGCATCTTGCCGTCAGCTACTCTGCCGCTCACGAAATAAACACAATAAGATCACGTAAGCACGTCGTGCACCCTGATTTCGTACAAAATGACCCCTATACAACCACCATGGCCTTCATCATAACCACAGCAGGGATCGACAGCTCCGTTTCAAATTCACTCTCCTCGAGAGACGAACCGCTCTGTCTCTGTCTGCTCAATTGACCTTGAGGGCGATTCCGGTGGTGGAAATACCACGTTCCTGTGACGGGGCCCAGTGCTCTCCACAGGAACAATCGCTGCTGACTTCCTGCAAAGAGTTGCTCGTTCTATCGACTCCGGGATGGACGATAACCTGAGTTGACCTTCGACCGGGATTTGAACTCGCGGCCCTGAACCGATGCAGACGAAGTCGATGACCTCGTCTCAATCCGGCTACACCTTGGAAGCTAAGCAAGACTGAGCCTGGATCGTGCTTGGATGGGCGACCACCACCACCACCACTTATAAAATAGGTGCTGTAGGTTGTGTGCAGCGGGAGTGGGAGGTGAGGGCGGGGGGGGGGGCAGTGCAGCAACATCCATTCATGTACTGTACGTCTATGCTCCCGCCTTCACCAAGCCGCATTGACCAGCGCGGTGAAGTATGGTCAAATAACCCCCACGACTACATACGGCATGGCGAGGCCCTCATCCAGCAGTGCATCTCCAGCAGGGGCTGCATATGCACACGACGATGATGACGATGATGGTGGTGATGACGATGATGGTGGTGATGATGATGACGATGATGACGATGATGGTGGTGATGATGATGATGGTGGTGATGATGATGATGGTGATGACGATGATGATGGTGATGATAATGGTGATGATGATGGTGATGATGGTGGTGATGACGATGATGATGACGATGATGATGGTGATGATGATGGTGATGATTGTGGTGATGATGATGATGCGGGCTCCGCGTGCCTCACGCGTGCGGTGACATTTACCACGGGGCTCGCACGGGGCAATTAAACGCGCCGACGTCACGACCGGGACGCACGCTCGATTAGTGAGCACCGCAGCAGGCGGGGAATCCCGACTGACGCTGCGTTGTGCGTGGGCAATGTGGAACACATCGCCGCGCGTTCCTCGACAATAACAAGGCGGGAGTGGCAGAGCCTCCAGTGAGAGACTTCCTTCACCTGCCGAGGGCGAATAATAAGAGATCACTCGCGTCTCATCATCATCAGCAGCAGCCATGATCAATCCACTGCTGGATGAGCCCCCCCCCCCCCACCCCCAAGTCGTCGGCATCTCTCACACTGTCCAGCACCTGCCCACGAGCGGTTGAACTTCCTCGCTCCATCTCTCTGGCGCACGTTCTCTCGCTTGCGCGTTTCCATTTCCTTTGCCGCTTCTCCGTCACTGTCCGCGACCCTTGGGCTATCATCGCTTGGGCAGGCAAAGGGGCAGCCGTGCTCCAAGCCTCCCCCCCCCACTGCGCTTCGTAACGGTTTGGAAGATGTCTTTAACCCTCCTTCGGTTTCTCAATGCAATTTCAACCCCCCCCCACCCCCTCGCACCCCCACACCGTCTCTCCACTGCTTCCTTGCGGATTTTCCAGATGTTGTAAAGATTCGCTTCGCTAATGACCACGTCTCTGAGCCGCACATCGCACGCGGCATTACGGTGCGCGCCGATGAACCTGTCGGTAGAACGTGCCCAGGGCTTTACCCAATCAAACGGAGCGATACCGCAACGCAAATGTGGAATGTTCCACTCGCCAGCAACAACGAGGAACGCGCGAGTCGGAGAACCGGCGGCGATGGTGGGGAAGTGGGGGGGGGGGGGTGGGTGGGTGGGGGGTTGTTTCGGGTGTTAATTTGCCGCTCGGTTTTTTTTTAATTTCCCGTCGCTAGGCTGCCTCGGAGTAATAGGAATTATCGGCGTAAGGCACTACCACGAGAGTACAAGGCACGCCTCTCCGTGACAGCACGCGAAGAAGGCCCATCGCCCGATTCGTCACCTACGACACGTGCGTGGAGGTGCATTGTTAATTGTGCTTTGTGCACCAGTGCTAAGGTGGCAGCGGCGGCAGCAGCAGCAGCAGCTTCAGACGAACTGCTTTATTATTATTGTCACACACGACGCATTCCTATGATGCGGTGCAAAGGCTTCATTAATTACCAGCGTCAGGAGGACAACGTCAGGCGAGGTGTGACGTGCCTCGTGCCGCTATAATTCCCGGGACAGCATTCTGGACCATTCCGGTTGCAATTAAGCAGCGGGTATACAGCACGTGAATAATCGATCAATGAGTTATGTTGTTGTTATTATTATTATGATTACTATGAGTGAATGATGATGATGATGATCATCATCATCATCATTCATGAATATCCAATGCATCATCGACACATCGTCACCACCAGCGTGATCTTAATCTACCATCGAACTTCGTCGTCCAAAGAGGAGCGTCACATCGTCACACCGTCGTCCTCATTTGAGAATGAGAAGTCATTGAGAAGAGTGCGGTCTGACCCGGCGTGATGAGACGGGAGTTGGTCCGAGTTTGCGATGGTCGGTCGCGACTCAATTCAAATTCCTTTAGCCGCCCAGCGTGTACCGCAAATCTCCAACACGCGCCGCATATTATTTCTTTAAATCGTAAGCCAAGGAATCCGTAGCACGATTCGCAAGGGTGAGCCACTGTGTTGCCCACGTCCCAGTTCAGACCCCACATTTGATAGCTTCGGTCTCCTCTTAGAGCAAAGATTCCCGACAGCGTCGCTTCTTCGTCTCGTTTCAATATCCGAGGAGAGAAAAAAAAAACAACAAATGATTCTCCCGGAAAACATTCCGTGAGAAATGAAGCCCTGATAATACTACTACCACTACTCATACGGCTCGTGATGATACTACTACTTCTACAACTCGTGATAATAATAATAACAACAATACTACTACTACGACTGGTGATTGACGCGAGGGAGCGAGGGCAGTGTCTTCGCAGCCGAGCCACGGCCTCCGCGCTTGGAATCGCTTCTTCGCATGGTGCTGGAAGAATCTTTTTTTTATTAAATATCACAACCGCTCGTGTGCGGGGCATTAGAGTTGGCCGAAATGATAGCATTTTTTTAAATGTAAGGTGATTATTATTATGATTGCCCTTCGTCCCTTATCCACACTTCACATTTTCTCCCCCCACCCCCCTCGACGTTGCGCTCTTCATGACCGTGATTCAATAAATTCGGCAGGGTCACCCCAGGATATAGACAATAAACTTCACAACATTCCTGCTCTCCCATCGGCAGCCTTGGTGGCCGCTTCATTGGTTCCGATGGGGCCGAGGTCCAGCGAAGGTTTGAAACGAGATCGAGCACACAACGCGTCTCTCTCAATGTGGATCGTGGACCTGTGGCGATGTGGATCGATTGCGTCGCATGATCGCGAGAGATGGCTTCGGGAAGGCTTTCATCCAGCGGTGGATTGACCATGGCTGATGATGATGTTGATGGCGATATCACCGATGTATGAAAGCTGATGGGAGGGAGCAGTGGCGGAGTGATTCGTGCACTGGGCTTGGAAACTGTCTTCTTTAGTTCGTAAATACATCAGACATTGTAAGGAAGACAAAGGCATCCGGGCGTGGGGGTGGCCAACACAATTTCCCGCGTAGACCGAGCTGATCTAAATAGGTGTTCACCAACAGCCTTTGTCGCTACAGTCTATAACGATGGCTCTTTGGTAAGCGCGCGCGCGCGTGTGTGTGTGTAAGTGTGATAATTTTATCTGAACCGGTCCTGGGCCTCCCCTAGGTCGACTCAGCCTCAAATAAGTACTGTAACTGGTGCGGTGTGTAAACATCGCCACCAGGAACACAAAGGCGGCCGGGCGTGGTGCTGGCCAGCCACCCCCTCGTGTGCCGCTAATGGCACTTGCCTCACAGTCTGTTAAGGCTACATGGGGGATCTTCTTGTGTTCGTGTGGGAGGCAAGTTGGGTGGGTGTGTGTGTAGTGGGGAGCGATGGTGTAGCGGTTAGCGCACTGCGCTACGAACCTGGCGACCCGAGTTCGATTCCCGCTCACGGCCAACACCAGTGGCGATTATCTCAACCGGTCTTGGGCCTCCCCTAGGTCGACTCAGACTCAAATTAATCCCTGGTGCGATGTATACAAATCGCCACGGGGGAGACAAAGGCGGTCGGGCGTGGTGCTGGCCACCCACCCCCTCGTGTGCCGTGCCCGGCCTTCATAGGTGCTCGCTGACAGCACTTGCCCCAAAAGTCTGTATAGGCTATACGGGCGACCTTTGTCTTTGTCTTTCTGCGTGTCGCTGGGCGCATATGGGTTGCGGGTGCGTGTGTGTGTGTGCGGGGGGGTGTTAAGAGTGTTTGTGTGGCAAGTTAGGGTGTGTGCTGCTGGGGGTGGGGAAAGGGGGGGGGTGAAGAGGAGGAGGCGGCGGAGAAGAGGGTCGAGCTTACGAGGTTGGTGGCGATCCTCCGTCCGTGCCCAGCGGAAGCCCCGCTCAGCCCCCGCACTTTCCCCCGAGCCGAGCTGTCAGTCACGGCGCCTCTATAAAGGCGCGGGCTTGCTGGCAGCTCTCACGGCAGTCGCTACTCCGCAGCGGTGACCGCAGGCCCTGTGGGGTGTACGCGCAGACACACATTGGTTTGTAGCGCGCGGGCTTCTTATCCCACACGCCGCACGCACACACGCACACACGCATTGCACACACACACACACACAGCGAGAGAGACAAGCGTAGAGACGAGGAGGAGGAGAGGGAGAGAGCGGCACGCAGACGGCAAGCAGCCACTGCTCGGCCACTCGCAAGATCTCTCCGCCTGCAACAGAGACACGGAACGAGGTGAGGCGACAACTCGTCACACACACGCGCACAGACGCAACGGGTGGCAAAAAAAACGGTTACCGGTTTCGCGTTGGAGCCGTTTCACTGAGAAATGAACGCAAATGAATCACTGCGCCCGTGCCGTTCGTGCTTTAGCGGGCGCAGATCGGTGCATTCGTTCCGAACAATCCATTGGAAACGGTTGCTGGTTCCCGAGTTTCTGAACCGGTAATCGATTCTGAAAACGGTTACGCGCGCGCGCACACACACACACGTGGCTTCCGCTTCGCGGGAAGTCGCGCGCCTGCGGGGGTCGTTCCACGTGCGGGGTCGTTCCACGTTCGGGGGTCGTTCCACGTGCGGGGTCGTTCCACGTTCGGGGGTCGTTCCACGTGCGGGGTCGTTCCACGTTCGGGGGTCGTTCCACGTGCGGGGTCGTTCCACGTGCGTGTGGGGATCGTTCCACGTGCGTTCGAGCTCTGCATGCCGCGCATCGCCGCACGTGCTGCGAGCTTCTCCCGACGTGAGCCCCTCCCAGCACGTGCTGCGAAACGTCGGACAGCACGCGGCGCAACCCGAAGGCACATTGGACATCGCGCAAGTGTCCTTTGTGTGTGTGTGTGCGTTTGCACAAGGTGATCCATTTGTAGTAACCTCGCTGTGTAAATAACAGGGATACGTCATAGAGGAAACGGGGAATCCTCGTTACTTCTCCGACCAACCTAAATACACTCAGTCAATGTTCTAACGCTCCCACAGTACAACTTGGTTCACCGGAGCCGCTGGGAGTTGCTGACAGCGCTCAAAGATTACGTGCGAGCTGACGGTCTTCGGAAACCAGTGGGGTATCTCTATATGGATCAGCCCTGAACACACGGTTTACGTTTGAGTGGCAGTGAGCTGGTTTTGGGGGCCACTCTGAGAGTAGCCAAAGACGCGCAGTGATTCATCACAATCACGTCTGTTTCCACTGCTCACATCATCGATGGTGCAAGTGGGAGCGGTGGCGCTGTGGTTAGCAAAACTGCGCTGTCGATTCACGGTCACGGCGGGCGAGCGACACGGGAACGGTTCGTGGGTCCGTCCACCCTCCCACCCACCGCTCGACCCCATCCCCTTTAACAACTTGTTGCTAACCAGCGTGGTGAAGTATGGACAAACGACTTCCCATACATGACGTCACGTTCAAATATGAAAGAATCAAAAACATGCCCATCGATGCGCCAATGCTATTTTCAAGATAAAAGTCATCGTCATAATAATGATTTAAAACCGGGAGTCAATCCACTGCTGGGTGAAGCCACCCCCCCACTCCGCGTCGGTCTTGGTTTTCGTTAATCGACAGCACGAGTCGCTGCCCGCACGGGAACCCACCGCCTGACCGTTGTGTGGTATCATTATCAGTTTAACACGTATCATCATACCCGAGACTGACAGCAGCATTGCCATGTATCACGCGCGTCGTCACGCATCTACTTCCCTATTTAACAACAACAATAATAATAATAATAGAGAACCTGCATTTATCTTGCTTCCATAATGTAGCGAAACGTCCAAGAGCGCAGTTTTATTTCATCCTAGGGGTACTCCTCTGATGACAGCGCTCCTTGTGTGGCACACGGAGACGCTGGCCACGCAAAGTGCGCGCGAGTCTGTTGGCTCCGTTTGCTACGTACCACAGCTGCCAATTTGCGTCCGCGGCGGGGACGTGACCACGTCGCTCGTGCCAGGCTAGATGCACTTTGAGACCACCCTGAAGTGATCGACAGCTCCCGGAGAGAGAGAGAAAGAGAGAGGGAGGGATAGGGACACGCGCAAAGTCGCCTCGCGTGTTCGCGCTCAGCGGCGAACGCTTCGCCGGCGAGCCGACGAACGGCAGGACGACACCGAGCTGGTGACGACACCGAGCTGGTGACGACACCGTGCTGGTGACGACACCGTGCTGGTGACGACACCGTGCTGGTGACGACACCGAGCTGGTGACGACACCGAGCTGGTGACGACACCGAGCTGGTGACACGACGACACCGAGCTGGTGACACGATGACACCGAGCTGGTGACACGATGACACCGAGCTGGTGACAGGACGACACCGAGCTGGTGACGACACCGAGCTGGTGATGACACCGTGCTGGTGACGACACCGAGCTGGTGACATCGGCGGCGCTGGCGGAGACATTTGGAAAAGCGCCCGAGTTGGAGCGGCCGAACTCTCGGCCTCATCACGCAACGCCCTCCACCAAGTTGCGCTCCGGTCGGGGTACTTGGAGTCGTGTAGGAGGACTGTGAATGGAGAGGAAGAGATCACGGCACTCGCAACGTCAAACACCTGGCAGTTCACCAGCGTAGATCGGTTCGACTAAGCCTGAGCTCTGTTGATGAGACGCTGAATGTCAAAACCGGTTCGGAGTTGTGCTTTGTGTTGAACCAATGCTGCTCATGCGATACACTCGCGGAAGGATCGCCGTACGGCTGATAGGATGCGTACACATTTTTATTTTATTTATACGCAGAGCGACCACATGCGGGAAGGAGGAGAGTTGTGTATTCATTTTGTTACATTCTCCATAAAGAGGTGGAACAAAAAAACAAACCGGTGAGCTAACTCACTCGCTCACTCAAGTTTCGATTCCAGTCCACGGCGGCAAATTCGACAGAAGCACCAAATCGTGAGTCGTGCGTTTGCGACACCCGACGGCAAAGGTTCAGGCGCCTTCAGTGGCACGGCTTGGCCGTGCCGATGTGCCACGGTTACCGCCGAATGGCCAAACTTGAGAGCCGTCCGCGCAACCCAGTTGCATGAACAGCTTCCTGACGCTGTTAACGCAATTGTCTCTTGTTTAGAGATACGATATTCAATTTCAATAGTAACCCCACAAACATACCCAGCACCGTACCAATGCAAAAATGATTTACGGACTTTTGTTAATCCGCTGTTGGATGAACGCTTCGGTTTCGATAATGATGGGGCTATTTGGCCATACTTCACCACGCTGGTTAGCGGGGTTTTTGAAGCGTAGCTGGGGGAGGGGAAGGCCATCAACAGGAACGGTTCACTCGCCACCGATGTCAGTCGTGGCCGGGAATCCAACTCGGACGGTACACAGTGGAGTGCGTTAAGCACTGCCCCACCACTCCTCCCACGTTGAACACGTGTAGCCGGAGAGAACAACGCGCGGCTAACTTTGTTGTAGCCGTCGCGTTACATGCAAATCTATAATAGAGAGCCACTACACAGTGAGTTGCGATTCGAAAGCGCGTGCTTACGAATCACACGTGCACGCGCTTACACGCGCAGGGGCCAAAGAGACAATGCGCGCTGTCGAGAAGAGTGCGGGGCTTGGGCAGCGCGCGTCACGGCCACCGGCGATGACGACGGCCGATGGTCGAGAGCAACGACGGAGTGGCAGCCAGGGAATGGAACGCGTTCGAGAGGTTGTTTCGTCCTTCCGCGGAGACGGAGCGGCGAAATCGTGTTCGATCGTTGTTGCATCGCTGGATCGCGGGAAATGTGTTGCGGCGGCTTTGTTGGGGGAGGCCTTCGTCCAGCAGCGCACTGTCCGCGGCTGATAATGAAACCCCACGGTCGCGGTTGCGTTGTAATCATGAGCAATCTTCTTGTAAACCGTCTCGCACTATTCTCGACGTCGGTGATGCGTCTCGCGTCGCCCTGCGAACGACGGCGCATCAGATAGCAGCGGCCTAAGGGCGCCAGCAGATAACGGCCTCGTCGTAAACACGTGCGAGAATCCATAGCCACGGGCACTTATCGATCCGCATTCATGTTCCAACACGTTATCCGTGTCCTGACATTGAGGGGAAATGCGTGTCGCTTTATCGGTCCACCGCCGGATCAAGGATTCCATCCACCGTGTTAGTCGTGGGCGTCGTTTGACCATACTTCACCACGCTGTTCAGTGCAGCGAACGGGAGTGCCCAGCCCCAGTTCAGATATCGCTCGCCACTGAAGTTGACCGTGGCCAGGAATTGAACGGGGGCAGGTTGCCGGGTTCATAGTTCAATGCGCTAATCGCTGTGCCACCGATCCGCCTCATGAAGGTAGCGGGGTTGTACTGCCCACGCCCAGGGCAGCTTGGACAGCCTACAGGCATCGGCCTGTAGGTTGTCTGTACAGGCAGCTGCCCACGCCTGTAGGCTGTCTATACAGGCAGCTGCCCACGCCTGTAGGCTGTCTATACAGGCAGCTGCCCACGCCTGTAGGTTGTCTAAAGAGGCAGCTGCCCACGCCTGGCCCAGAGGATCTCTAACACCAGTGTCTCTCTACTCAGTTGAGCCTCGCAACATTTTCAGCACTCATCTTCATCGGCGGCGCTGAGGCAGTGGTGGAAAATTCGACATTCCCACGACGAGGAATAGTCTCATCAAAGAACAGCCGCGGTTGATTTGGCACGAGTACAGGTGCAGTGTTTTTGTTGTTGTTGTCACGACCGCGGAGGGGCGATTGGCCGAGTCGACCCCGAGTGGGACGCGAAACCCGCGACCTTCCCAGCACGGGATGAGTGCTCTGAGCACAGCGCTCCGCAGGGCTGGCGCGAGTTCGCCTCTCGGTCTCATTGCTCAGGAGCAAAGCTAAGCAGGATTGAGCCTGTGCGGTGTTAGCAGGCGCTCATGGCAGTTGCGGTAAAAAAAAAATCCATCGCCTCCTGCAGTCCCACCTTCACCGACCCACGCTGCCCAGCGTGGTGAAGTATGGCCCCAATACCCATCGTGCCCCATTGCACGGCCGTGTCGGATGAAAGCTTCCACCAAGCCGCCCCGGCCGGCGATTCTGCGGTGTAAATTGTTCCACCAAACACCCCCAGCGCGTGGCTGGATTTCATCGCTCCGTCTCTTTGCGGGATGTTACGTGCCCCCCCCCGCCCCCCCGCGATCTCGGACGTGTTGCCGGCCATCGATGCGGTGCGTTCAATCTGGCAGAATAGACGAAAGGTCACCGCGGAAGTTTTTATTTGTTGTTCTGTGTCCCCCGCGTGCGCTTCTCTCTTCTTTTTAGCTGCACCCGAAGGTCGCCCCCCCCCACTTCCCCCACCTCCGACCCTCGGCTCCTGCTCCACGCGGTCATCGATGGCCACCGCACACGCGGTGATCACTCAGGGCTGCGATTCATTAGGTTCAGCATTAACCCGCGCTCACATGTGTTTTATACTGGGCACAAATAAACCCCTGGCAGAGGAGGACAGAAGGCCGTGGTTTTAGCCGACAAACCACCCACCCCCCCAATAGGACGCAGCCACAGGGGCCACGTAATTGTGGACAACTCCAGGAGCCAAAGCGAGCGTGGAATTTACAGCCTCATCTGCACTAACGATGGAGCCCCCGCGGTTATATTCAGCCCTGTCAGTGCGACTCGAGATTTTGTGGCAGACTCCCCCCCACCTCCCCCCTGCCTTAAATCTCAAATATTACGAGTCCCTATGACCCCCCCCCCCCCCCCCCCCCCCCATATAAACGTTCAACGACCCACGACCCCTGATGAGAGCTGGACACAGCGAGAGCCGTAGGCGCCACGGATGCGTCGGGAATTGAAGCTGAATTTACTCCCCAGACGTATCCTGTACTCGCCTAACAGAGCAGCGTCGTCTGAGTCATTGTAGAGAACACAAGACACGCAATAAATAGGCACACAATCCGCCTCCTTCCCCACAGCGACGCCAATGGTCATTCAGTGTTTCGTATGTGCATTGGACTTCTTTCGCACCGTACGTAGCCCACCGTGCTAATGAGGGGTGCGGGGGAAGGACAACAAACTCCACCATTCCGGAGTTCTGCGCCGAAACTTGGACCCATGTCTCACGGACAGGGCCCTCGATTAACAGCATTCGGATGTCCACCAACACTGAATGTCACGTGATGATATGCGAGTGATGTCCGAGTGATATCCCGACTTCGACAATTTCATACGGCCAGCGTGATGAAGTACGGCTAAACAACCCCCACAATCGACGTGGAGTGGAAATTATTGTGGAGCTGGAAATTATTGTTGATATTTTTTGCGCACATTGAGACGTTTGTGTTTATATATATTCAGATGTCATTTCTGTAGACTTAGAAATACGTGGTCTGTTACATGAGAAACTGCAACAGCCCAAATGGGATGTATGCGCCGTGTACCCTCCGTTTGCCAACCTACTGCCGGATGAGGTTCCTCTCCTCTGTGCAGGCCGTGACGGTTTATGTGTCCATACTTCACCGCGCTGGTCGGTAGGTGGGGGATGGAGTGCAGGACAGCCGTGCAGCACTGCCCTCTGCGGCACCACAACGCCTATCTGTAGCACCTGAAGCAGCGTGCACGGCGTTCGTGCACTATCCTGGCTCACACCTGCTCAGCTTCCGAGATCTTACGTCGTAACTGGAATTAAATCGCGCGCGTCGGCAATACGGACGTGCACTTACATTAGAATGTGTGTTCATTCACACGCTCGACGTTCCCGTGGCCGAGGCCAGTCACATCAATTTGACGACCGTGGCTTATAATAAAGTGGTGACTATTTTATGGGCCCCGGGAGTGATAATAGGCTGTCTACCTCTGACCGGGATTTTCATGTTACTCTTCTGCCCACTGGAAGTCAGAGCAACTCTACACAAAGTGATGTAATTCCATCCGTGAGAGTAAATGTGTTCCCAGAATAGTGGCAGCTGTGGTTGATGTTCATCTCCATTGTTAGCCTTGATCCAGTGATGGAAATTCAACATTGCTATGACAGGGACGACCTTCAGGCAGTACTTATTTCACCAAGCATGGAGGAAAAAGTGGACTGACTTGATTTAATAAGTGCGTACCTACCGGCTGCGACGTATGGGTCAGAAATATTGAAATTGACGGGAAAGAAATGGAACAAAAACTGAAAAAGTGCCCAAAGAAATATGGTGAGATGCGTGCCGGGAGTAAGGTAGAGAGACATGAAGAGGAACCCGTGAATTAGAGAGCGCCCGCAAGTTAATGGTGCATATTCACAGACTAACATGATGCATTGTCATTTATATGAGACCATTAACGCCTCTCTGGTCTTCGAACCTGATTGGCTCACGTTGATGACATCACCTCTACTCGGTTTAAGACCGAAATAGGAAGACTTATTTCACAATTCTGGCTAATCGCCTGATGGAGCTGGTTGTAATCACCAGCGAAACGTCACAGTACTCAAGTTGTAAACGTTGTGGGGTTTGTTTTTACTCACCAACGCACGGTTGTGCGGAAGTAGTAACTAGTTGACACGTTTTGTTTACGTGACAAACCTTACTAATTGGCTGCGCTCGGGTAGTGGCGGGTTTAACGACGACAGCACGAATATTGAACAAACAAACAAAAACAATTGTTTGCTATGGATAATGGTGTCATTCTGACTGTTCAGACAAAGTGAGCGGGGCTTGGGCAGGACGCGATGGGTCAAGGAAAGCAACGGAGTGGCAGCCAAAGGAGGAAAAACCACACGGGGATGTTCGCTGCCGAGGCCCCAGGTGGATCGTGGCGTTGTAGACCGCGAGCCGAAGCGAGGACTTGGGGAGGCCTTCATCCAGCAGCGAATTGATCATAGATGATGATGATGATGATACGACGGGGAACCTGCTGCTCCGATTCGCACGGTTGGCTAAGTACGGTGCGAAAGAAGTTCAACATACATTCATACGACGGAGTTTCTCAACCATAGAAATGTGGGATTTTCAGCAATTTCTCAACATTGCCAGAAGGGATGGGCACTGCCTCCATGCGCATATTAGCATCGCCACTCTGGATTTTTAATTGAACACTGTGTACAGGTACAGGCCTTGGTCGTTCCACTGCTGGATGATGATGATGATGTTGTGGTGAGGTCACAACCAATTCAGATATATCCCGCCACGGATGTCTGCCGTGGGCAGGAATCAATCTTAGATCACCGGGTTCGTTGGGGAATGCGCGGCTAACCACTGTGCCACCGTTCCCACACATCTTTTTATGGTAGCAATGTGGAATTTCCCCCACTGGCTCAGAACAGCCAATAGGGATCAGCCCTGAGTCCACTCACTTGTGGACAGGGAGACGCTGTGACCTATACTCGGATCCTGAGTGAATGATTCATAGTCCATCAGGCACTCTCGCCATGGGCGTAACGCAGCCGTTCACTAACCCCTTGCCTGCGTAAACACGTGGCTCAGTGTGTGTGTGTGTTGCATCTCGGGTTGTATCATATGATCGTTTAGCTAATACTTACTCAACTAATGATTGGTTCCGTTATTCGACGAATCAGAGCACACGAAAATAGTTGCAAAGAAACAGGTCTAACATCTGTGCACCACGTGTGCCGCTGGACGGGAGATTCTGAGCGGGGCTTGGTGACATTATGGGCATCAAGAACCTTGTCACGTTGGACGTGGCTGGCGGGGGTTTCCCGCCTTCGGGAGGGAGGATGGCAGTCACCATTTTTGTTTAAGTTAAACAAAAATGTATTACAGTGATTTTTGTCGACTTATTGACTTAATCCACTATAACCGTCCCAGCTCTCTCGTGCACTTTTGCACATTCACACACACACTCACACATGTTTTATAAGGTCCAGTGAATATACATAAACCCCCACTGACCCAAGTTCAATTCCTAGCCCCGGTGCAATACAGCACGGTGGCAATTGGCATCTCAACCAGGTCTGGCCTTCCTCTCGGTAATCATAACCCCTCACCTGCCGCAAATAATTAAGTTGGAATACACGCAGCAATAATCGCCACCTACTGCGACAACTTGGCAGGACCCTCCTGAGAAAAAAAGGGGCACGAGACTCATTGAGGTTTTCGTGGGTAAAGCGAGCGACGGGATGGAAACACCTCGACCCTCTCGGCTGTCTTGGGTACTAATCGGTGCGGTGCGGTGCGGTGCGATGCGGTGCAGGATGTCTCGGCGTGCCCTGCTCACGCTCGTGCTGCTCTGGAGCCTGGGGCTGGCGCTGGGCGCGGCGCGCAAGGCGCGGGTGGTGCCCCAGGGCGCCATCCCCCCACCCGACAAGGAGCGACCCAACACGTCCGACGCGAAGCCGACGAAGGCGAGGGACAAGCAGATCCTGGACTCGAGCCACGAGGCGCTGATCATCACCGAGCGGCGCTACCTGAAGCAGGACTGGTGCAAGTCGCAGCCCCTGCGCCAGACCATCACCGAGGAGGGCTGTCTGAGCCACACCATCATCAACCGCTTCTGCTACGGGCAGTGCAACTCGTTCTACATACCGCGGCACGGGCGGCAGGGCGAGGAGGACGCGTTCAAGTCGTGCGCCTTCTGCCGTCCGCAGAAGATCATCTCCACCGTGGTGGAGCTGCAGTGCCCCGACCTGCAGCCGCCCTTCAAGCTGAAGCGGGTGCAGAAGGTGAAGACGTGCCGCTGCACGGCGGTGGACATCAAGGACCTGTGAAGGACGACGCGAGAGCCCCCCCCCCCCGCGATGGCCCCACGATGGTGGACAACGCGCCCAAATATTTTTTGACCCCTCTTGTTTTTTTTTTTTATACGGCTATTTATTTGATTTTGCTCGAGCAGCGACTGATGTATTTTTCTACGCGTGCGAATGCTGCGACGTATATGAATTTTTTTTTAATTCCTCCCAGCGACCCCACAGTTTCCGTGCCGGATAATAACGTCTGGCTGCACGCAACAACGACGGTCCCCAACGCAACGGCCTTAGCGGACTGTTTCGGCAAGTGCTGTCAGCGAGCACCTATGAAGGCCGGGCACGGCACACGAGGGGGTGGGTGGCCAACACCAACGCCCGACCGGCCTTTGTCTCTCCCTTGTGGCGATGTTCTTACACACCGCACCAGGCACTCATTTGATACTGAGTCGACCTAGGGGAGGCCCAGGACCGGTTCAGATAAATCGTCACCGGCGGTGTTGGGCCGCGAGCGGGAAATCGGACTCGGGTCGCCGGGTTCGTAGCGCGGTGGAGCGCGCTAACCGCGACACTACCGCTCCCCTAGCACACAACAACAACAACGCAACAACAACACAACAACAACAACACAACCCGTTGGCAACCTGTGTGAGTGACTGCGGCGCGTGCTGCCGGGTGCCGAGTGTACGGAACCAGCTTCCAGTTCGTCGTGTTGCGCAATTGTCAACAGAAAGGGGGGGTTGCTCTCCACGATCCGTCTGCCGGAACGGTCGATGCCTGTTTTAATCTCTTGTTCCGCAAACTGGTTTTGGTCGGTACCGATACGTCCCGTCATTGTCACCAAAAAAGATGAAGAATGTGGACCGGCTATGAGAGATGAAAAGTTGACAATCTTACGAATCTTGCTTTGTTTCCTTGATTCCCGCAACGCGAGAAGAACGCTCGCTACCTGTAAACATCCTGTACAGACACGCGGTGAGATTGGAGACATATAATAAACTTTGCTGTACAATATATAGTCTATATATAGATGATGCTGTATTTATAGGACAATTGCGTTGCTCACTGACAGCGTATACTATGTTTATAAATGTATATTGCGGTGTTTAGACATCATTATGAATAAAAAACAATTTCTAGCATTCCCTAAGTATCGCCAAAGATACATCGACCAAATGGACGCGAGCGTCTACTTTGTAGTTATTTCTTGACTTAAAGCTTTCGCGACTGCGGGAATTCATATTCTTTTGGCGTTTTCGGTAAAGCCACGTAGATAGAAAAATAAGAAAATTATCCACGACGTTTCGATCGCAACTCAAGCAACCGTCATCAGGCGAGAGAGCTGCGGCTGCAGGAGAAAAGCGATGTTTTCACCTGATGACGATTGCTTGCGTTTCGATGCAAACGCCGTGATAATTTTCTTATTTGTCTATCTACGTGGTTTTACCGAAAGACCCAAAGAATACTTTGTAGTTAACAAAAAAACAACCCCTCCCCCTCCAACATCGATGTTGGAGACGCGCAGCGGGAGAGATACACGGCACGCGTTCGTAGGCGATGTCGCCGTTCATCTCGGCGACATCGAGACGACAACTCGGCGACATCGAGACGACAACTCGGCGAGCGGGGGGCGTCGTGTTCGCAGCCGCCGGCCTGGCAAATAAACAGCGCGCCAGGGGCATCGCGAGCGGCGTTGCGGTGGCCGCGTCGATCGCCTTGCAATCGGAACGCTGTGACTTAAACAATGTCAGCTAGGTGGGGGGGGGGGGAATTAAATCCGTCGTCAGCCTCGGTCGATCAACTGCTGGATCGAAGGCCTCCCCCCCAAAGCCGTCCCCATCTCTCCCGATCACCGCGATGTTAACAATCCACCCACCCAGCGCCCGTTCCAACACGCGAGCTCATTCCATCGTCCCATCTCCTTCGACGGCGGTCTCCCTCCCCTCGGACGCGTTCCGTTCCCCAGCTGCCTGCCTCTCCGCCCGTCACCGTCCCTCCTCTCGGCCGTGACGAGTGCTGCCCCTAGCACCCCGCCACTCCTCGTCACACTTCGAGTGGTGATGTCATTCGCCTGCGTTCGTCCTCGGAGGCCCCGTGACAGGCACAGTCAATGGAGGGGGGGGGGGGGGTGGATTCGTGCTCCCACCGTGGGAGTTTGAAACATTCGCCGTTTGGCTCGGGAAGCGGATCAACAGCGGAAGAGGGGAACCCCACTCCCCCCATGCTCACTCGAGCAGGGAGGGAGAGAGAGAGAGAGACACACACACCCGCGTTTTAAATTGAGTCGAAATTTTGTATCTTTGAATCAAGGAATCAGCTCGGCGTTCGCAGACGCGTATTTGCGGTGCGTGTGCTGCAAACGTGTTCGGAAGTGTTTGTAAATTAAAGGAGACGTCTTATATCGCATCGCGTATTTAGCTTTAAAATGGTTCCGTATGGAACACCGGTACGAGGAGGGGCTCGTTCCTCCTAACGACTGTCTGGCTGTACAACTGTACCCTAATTATTTAAAGCCCAAATACAATAAAGCTGGCGAAATGCGGTTCACACACACAACCGGCGTGCGCTTGTGTCTGCGTGTGCGGTTGACTGTGGGGTCGGAGAGCGCTACGTGTAGGGGTCAGCGCGCCCCGCTACGAACGGGGCGAGCCGAGTTCGATTTCCACTCACGGCCACCAACGCCATCTGAACCGGCGACGGGCCTCCCCTAGATCGACTCAGCCTCAAATGGGTAACCGGTGCCGTGTGTAAACATCACTATTGGGGGAAACAAAGGTGGCCGGGCGTGGTGCTGGCCACCCACCCCCATCGTGTGCCGTGTCGGCCTTCATAGGGGCTCGCTAACAACACTTGTCCCAACAGTCTGTTGAGGCTACACGGGAGATCTTTGCCTTTGGTGACTGTGGGGGCACGAGGGAGGGCCCCGCGAACCGCAGTGGACTCGGCGGCACCTTCCGCGCACGGCCCGAGAGAAACACCGGGGGCCCATGCACACCAACCTACATTCGCTACAACTCGTGACATTTCCACTGCCGACAATGATTTATTTTCACAACGGAGATTTCACGAGCCGCATTTCTCTCCCCCCCCCCCTCTCCACCCCAAACTCCCACTTGCTGCTGCTGCCTCGGTGGTGAGCAGCACAAGCAGAGGTCGTCGGTTCGATTCGACCTCCAGGCGCGGCAGTTGAAACAAGTTTCTTATATGCTCAACCCCCCCCACCCCGCCTCTGTCCACCCAGCGGTGTACATGGGTACACAACAGTTTGTCGACCGACAGGTGGCATGTGGTGGGGTAAAGTGTGGGTACTCAAGATGCATGGTCGGTGGGGAAGAGTAGGCCAAATGTCCTCTGGGGGGGGGGGGGGGGAGGCTATCTGGAGCTGTCTCTGGTGGAGGCTCTTCCACCAGCAGTCGCGTGAAAGAGCAATTGCAGGGCCGCGCTTTCACTTTTAAACTAACGATAAATTGAACTTCATATTCTTTGGTTCTTTCGGTAAAGTCACGTAGAATGAGAATAAAATAATAAATTGATAAAATAAAATAACACAATAATATTCTCACGACGTTTCGGCCACAACACAAGCGGCCTTCATCAGGTGAAGGGGACGAGACTGTCTGGAGGACAGCGCTGGAGTGAGAAAGCCACGCTGAGATCACGACCTTTAAGCTGTGTGAGAAGAAACAAAGCGCCTTGACAAAGGAATTAGCATAGAATTTAGCATTGAAATGGCTGAGTGATTAGCTTGTGACTGGTCACAGAAAAGGCTATGTTAAAGTTAAAGCATACACATCCGCAAAGGCACCCCTTGATAAAGGAATTAGCATAGAATTTAGCATTGAAATAGCTAAGTTAAAGTATACACATCCGCAGAGGCACTCCTTGACAAAGGAATTAGCATATAATTTAGCATTGAAATAGCTGAGTGATTAGCTTGTAACTGGTCACAGAAATAGCTATGTTAAAGTCAGAGTATATACATTCACCGAGGCACCTAGTACAAATCAAACAGAAGAATTTAGCATTGAAATAACTAGGCGAATTTAGCATTGAAATAACTGAGTGATTAACTTGTGACTGGTCACAGAAATGGCTATGTTGAAGTTAAGGCCTACACATCTGAGCTATTCACTGTAACTGGGTATACAATACAATATATAATGAATACTATATAGTGAACCAATAAAAAAATACTAAAATATAAATTACCTCAATGTTATCAATAAACTCTATATTAAATTTCGATTTAAAGCTTTCGTGACTGCAATGATTCATCTTCTTTGGTTCTTTCGGTAAAGTCACGTAGAATGAGAATAAAATAATAAATTGATAAAATAAAATAACACAATAATATTCTCACGACGTTTCGGCCACAACACAAGCGGCCTTCATCAGGTGAAGGGAGCGAGACTGTCTGGTAGGACAGCGCTGGAGTGAGAGAGCCACGTTCAGATCACGGCTTTTAAGCTGTGTGAGAGGAACAAAGAGCCTTAGAGTCGCGGCATCTCTTCAGAAAGGTGAGAGACTCGATTAGTTGAGCCTTCTTATCCCGAAGTCTGTTGAATGATCTTAAGGATGTGTGGAATCCCTCCCCGTAGAGGCGGTTAAATTTCGATTTAAAGCTTTCGTGACTGCAATGATTCATCTTCTTTGGTTCTTTCGGTAAAGTCACATAGAATGAGAATAAAATAATAAATTTATAAAATAAAATAACACAATAATATTCTCACGACGTTTCGGCCACAACACAAGCGGCCTTCATCAGGTGAAGGGAGCGAGACTGTCTGGTAGGACAGCGCTGGAGTGAGAGAGCCACGTTCAGATCACGGCTTTTAAGCTGTGTGAGAGGAACAAAGAGCCTTAGAGTCGCGGCATCTCTTCAGAAAGGTGAGAGACTCGATTAGTTGAGCCTTCTTATCCCGAAGTCTGTTGAATTATCTTAAGGATGTGTGGAATCCCTCCCCGTAGAGGCGGTTAAATTTCGATTTAAAGCTTTCGTGACTGCAATGATTCATCTTCTTTGGTTCTTTCGGGGATAAGAAGGCTCAACTAATCGAGTCTCTCACCTTTCTGAAGAGATGCCGCGACTCTAAGGCTCTTTGTTCCTCTCACACAGCTTAAAAGCCGTGATCTGAACGTGGCTCTCTCACTCCAGCGCTGTCCTACCAGACAGTCTCGCTCCCTTCACCTGATGAAGGCCGCTTGTGTTGTGGCCGAAACGTCGTGAGAATATTATTGTGTTATTTTATTTTATCAATTTATTATTTTATTCTCATTCTACGTGACTTTACCGAAAGAACCAAAGAAGATGAATCATTGCAGTCACGAAAGCTTTAAATCGAAATTTAACCGCCTCTACGGGGAGGGATTCCACACATCCTTAAGATCATTCAACAGACTTCGG